CTAGGGGGAACCAGAGGCTCCTTCTCGTGAATCTGGATGAACTCACAAGAGAAAAGGTAGCAAGATCTCTCGGATCTCTCTAGCAGTCTTGCTACATAAGCTTGTAGCTGAATGGTTTAACAAAAGGTTTTCTAAGAGGATGGGGGAGATGGGGCTTTATAGCAGGGACAACCCCCCTTAGCTAGGTGTGAAAATGGTTTCAAAAGTAAGCAGGTTTGCATGCCTTCCTTGGGGGAATAAGCAGTAAACTTTGGGAGTTGTTGGAGAACTCCTCGGAAATTCGCGAAGCCCTGACAATCTGGACACCTTCCACGAGAATGACTAGTACTTTTGACTCACGACTTCAAATGATGTGAAGTTTTTTGCCTTGGAAAGATAATTTGATGTAGCTTATGTTGATGTACCCGTATGGCCCCGTCTCTCCACCACATGGCTTTGGCATAACGAAACATCAGAGGTAAAAACTGACAGCATCAGCTTCACTTGAAACTTGTTATCTCCAAACTTGGTCATCCAAGCCGGTTGCTTGAAGAGCTCATAGGCTGTTGGATTTCTTCCATGTGATATCTAAGTTCAACCGACAACAATGGAAATGAAAGTGCAGCCATGTATTCAAGATTATAGTATGAACTTAAGTTAGCGTTCACCTGTTCATGTGTTTGCTTGATTCGACTTAGTAATTCCTTCCAAGTAAATTGTACACTTTTCTGAAATGTCATGTATGATGTTCCCATGTGCTCATCATCCTCCCTCCCTTGATGAAGAGTCGTCCTCGACTCTCTTTGATCTACAAAAGATAAGCAGAAGGGAAGTAGATCATATCCATGCAAAGGAATAATGCAATCCTCATTTGTAGCTTTCACCTTCGAATTGTGTTGCATCTGATCATTTATTTGTTTGTCACAACTTAGAGTTTGTCCAGGGATGATTGGTGTTGTTTCAGTGACTGAGATGTCCTCATCAATATTCAAAGGCACCGTCTGTAATAATGTTGCCATGTAATCCTCCTTACGTTGCACAATATTATACAAAGCGGGATACTGAAGGGGTAGAGGCATCTCTCCTAACCATTTATCCTCCCAAAACCTTGTTGTCATTCCGTCCCCAACAACGAATTTCGCCCTATGAAAAAGGTCTCTTTTGTTCTCATGAGCCCCTTCCAAAATGGTGAATCATTAGGTCTTACGGTAACCTGAGCCAGAGTTTTAGAGTGTAAATGTTTGTTCCTTCAAATTTGTGCTCACATGCCATATGATTGTATGGATAACCTATATAGCCATTTGCTTAGCAGGCATTTATTTTTAATCTCGAAGTTCTCAATCCCAAGACCCCCTAGTCTTTGGGTCGACAAATAATATCCCATCTTGCCAGGCGATATTTTACCTTAACGTCATCTGACTGCCAGAAAAAACGAGATCGATAGAAGTCTAGTCTCTCCCGTACCCCTTTAGGTGTCTCATAGAAAGATATAAGGAACATCAAAATACTAGTAAGTACTGAATTGATCAGCACCAGCCGACCTCCATAAGACATAAGCTTACCCTTCCAGCAACCTAGTTTTTTTAAATCGATCTTTGATGCATTTCCATTATTTTATTAGTTAATTTTTGATGATGAATTGGAATACCCAGATAGCTGAACGGTAGGGATCCCAGTCCACAGCCGAATAATTGTTGATAAGTGTCTTGTTCCTCTTTGGCCCTACCAAAGCAAAATAATTCACTCTTGTGAAAGTTAATCTTAAGTCCCGACAATTGTTCAAAGAGGTACAACACTAGTTTCATATTCCTAGCTTTTGCAAGGTCATGCTCCATGAATATAATGGTGTCATCGGCATATTGTAGGATGGAAACTCCCCCATCCACCAAATGGGGAACACGACCACCTACTTGGCCTTTCTCCTTGGCCCGACCTATAAGCACGGTCAACATGTCTGCCACAATGTTGAATAGGATAGAAGACATCGGGTCTCCTTGTCTTAGGCCCTTATGCGTCTGAAAATAATGATCGATGTCATTGTTCACCTTAATCCCGACACTACCCTTTTGGACAAAGGAATCCACCTGATTCCTCCATGCCCCATTAAAACCCTTCATGCGCATGGCTTGTTGTATGAATGGCCACTTGGAACACCATTGCTAGCAACTTTCCCCTCGCCTCCCGGGTCGCACGCGCGTGCGGCTCCGGAGGCTCCCCCAACCCTAGAACAGCCAAGCCCTCATATCGCCTCCTCCGGCCATTGCCGGCGCCGGCACCGGTGGTGGGGATGCGCCCGGCTGCCGAAGGCGGCGGGTGCTGGTGGCAACCCCCCGACGGACCCCCTTCGCACGGAGCGGGACGTCTCCGGGGTGACCATGGTGGTGGAGTGGCCGGCGGCCCGATTCGCGACGATGGTCGTCGGCGCACGGAGAGCGCGATGGAGAGGCGGATCCAGGCGAGCTACTGCAGAGTGGTGGAGGTTGGTGGTGCGCGGGCGCTGATGGTGGCGGCGGCACGAGCTCAGCCATGGAGGCGGCAACGCCAAGGAGGCCCAGCCAGGAAGGAGATCCTGCGGGCAGCGGGCGGGCGGCTACCTCCTCGTGAGGGGCTTGTGGTGGTGCTCTTGGAGGCGCAGGTGCTGGATTGTGGATGGAGGTGCGGGCCGGATCTGAATCGTCTCAGATTCGATCTGGGTCTTTGGGGCTGTCTCCATCGCCTAGCAGTCCCCTGGTGCGGGTGAAGGCCGACGTGGTGGAGTAGGCCCTTGCACGGCGTGGTAGGAAGCGGCGGCTCCTCGTCTGGATTGTTGGTGGCGTGTTCTCTCAGCAGTGCTGGTGTTGGAGGATCACGACTGTGCAGCTTCATCAGCAATTTGCTGCGGTGACGGTGGTGCAAGGACTCATGGACAGTGCTTCCCCAAACCTTGAGGTATGAAGATGAGTGACATTACGGATGAAAATCATGTCCGGTTCTGGCCGGGCTGGCGGCGATGGCACCTGCGGGTGTCGTTCCCCTCCCTGGAGGCATCGCCGAGTGTGTCGCCATTTTCCTTGTCTTCTTGGTGTTGGCCGTTGTCTCCAGGCGAAAGCCTTGATTCGGTGTGGGGTCGGCACGACGGCGGCGTCTTCGATGTCGTCTCTCTGTTGGGAGCATTGTGACAGGAGACATGGTTTGGAGGTCCTACGCTCCACCGGTGTTCGCCGCTGCCCTAGCTCGTTCTTCTCCAGCGCAATGTACGGTTGTTGGTGGTGAATCCAAGATGGTGCCTTTCTTGGGTCGAATTGAGTCCTGCCATCCTCTTGCCACCTCCTTTAGGCATTAAGGGGGAGGGTGGTGCGTTGATGAAGGAAGCTTGGCGAGAGCTGCTGTTCTTCGGAGGTGACTGACGTCGGTCGAGATGCGGCGAGGTTTTCGAATTAGGGTAGGGTCTTTTGTGTCGTATTTGTGTTGTCGTTGTTGGCTGTCTTTGGACTAGCCGGTTGTGGAGTGGGTGCTACGCTCGTTGTTCGCAGCGAGTGATAGTCGTCTTATACTTGCAATTCTTTTTTTCTATAAAGCTATGGTACGCAATTTGCGTACTCTCGAAAAAGGAATGGCTATTTGACCTTATCATATGCCTTCTCAAAATCCACCTTGAAGATCACCCCCATCTAGTTTCTTCGAATGGATTTCATGTAAGACAACCCCTTCTAGGATATGTCTTTCAGGCATGAAAGCAGTTTGACTCAGTTGCATCATCGAATGGGCAATTCGTATCAATCTACTTGTGGCTATTTTCGTGAATATTTTGAAACTCGCATTCAAAAGACATATTGGCCTAAATTGTTCTATTCGAATTGCTTCCTCTTTCTTTGGCAACAACGTTATCGTATCAAAGTTAAAATGAAATAGTTGCAGATGGCAGTTAGATAAGGCAAACCTTTATTTTTGTTAGTGCTTGCTTAGTGTTTTTGGTAGATTTATTTAGTAGCTGCATTTAGCCAAACAATTAGCCAAATATTTTGAATGTATGGCTTGAATGATCGTCTCTCGCATCCGTGTCCGCGAACGGATGCCGGGGCGAATTTGCGGGTCAGCGCCCTAATAACGTTTCTATTTTTATTATTTTTTTAATAAATGTCAAACGTGTGGCACAAATACATAGTATCTCCAAGATTTTTTATGGCAAGTTTACTGACGCGAGGATGACAAATTTAATTGTCGACAATGACAACTTTATTTTCGACAATGATATATTTGTAAAAAGCATCATGACCGGATTTGCTTGGTGCAGGCACATGTGTGGCATTTAGAAAAAAGAAAAAGAAAAAAGTCCGATGAACGAGACGCCATGGCCTGGCTGGTGGCTGCCATGCCGATTCGCACTCTCGCAACGCCAGTGCGCCGCGGCAGGAGAAGCTGGGGGAGGTGTAAAAAGATTGCCCACGCGTGGGGCAGAATGATGCCGCCGGCGGCGCGCGTCCGGCGCCTGGCCACGGCGGCCGCGGCGCCGCTCTCCGACCTCACGGACGCGCTGCTCGCCACCCGCCTCGCCAACCACCTCCTCACCACGCCGCACATCCCGCCCGCGCTCCTGCCCGCCACGCCGCTGCCGCTCCCCGTCCGCCTCCACGTCCTCCGCCACCCGGCCCTCCCGCCCACCTCCAAGCTCTCCTTCTTCCTCGCCGCCACGCCGCCCGCCTCCCCGCACCTCGCCGCCACCTTCC